AAATGTGATTCGATAACACTGACAACATCACGTTTCATTGTTCATCGTAACGTGTTTTTCCGTTAAGTTCAGCTTTCATTTTGGCTGCGAAATCTCAGCAAGCAAGCTTCGCATATAATTCAGATTTCAAATATTGAATTTTTACCATAATGATTGAATCTGTCAATTTCTTTCGAGTACTTAGCGACAGATGTTTTATTCAGTGATATTCTCCACTCATCTATTTAGTCTTGTCTCTAGCCATCTCTCTCACTATTTCTTCCCCCGCTCCCTCTATTTCATGCGCGTGCGCGCACGCACAGTCACACTTATGCATATACACTCAACACACACGTACGCACATACGCACACACGGACACGCTCACACACACGCGCTCACTCACTCACACACATACACGCGCGCGCAGGTAAAAGGAAAATTTCCAAATTTCCAAACACCGCATCTTTATTATTATACATGGTTATATGTGATAAAAATGAACTTATGACACTTGATCTCCAGTTTCGAGGAACATCTTTTTTCACACAATAAAACTCCATGTGCTACAGGTTATTATGGCGATTAGTTATTTGTGCTTTTTTAATTACTAGAGATGTCATTAAGCAGATAAATGAGAGACATCGACTCTGTTCAGAATTACCGTTGTAGTTTTACGCAGCGACATTTAATCCAGCGCCTAATGAATTCCGCGTTATATGTGCTGAGAATAATGAAGTTAAATTTGGTCCCCGGGATATACGAAATACGATCGTCCGTTTATTTTAGCACTCGGAAATTTAATCGGCGATAGCAGCGCCGCGCTGATTAAAACTGTAGCGCAAACATTTAAAATGCCCTCGAATATCTAGCGTCAAGAACGAGGCTCGTCGACATGACGCTGCCCTTATATGGGGATTTGGCGCAGAAACAATGAAACTCATATCGAGGGTTCTGCGTTACTAGTTGCTTCTAGAACAACTGCACTATATAGTATATCTCATGTAGTATATATATATATATATGTATATATATAGAATATGCATATTTATATATGTAACGAATTTCGGTTTGTCGCAGCGTCACATCCCCACGTTCTACCCCCTACAGTCTGCCCCAGCATCCTCGGGTGATGTAGGCCGAATCCCCGCATGCTGTGGCAATGCACATGTGCTTGACACGAGCTTGTATTGTGCCGTACTCGTGTAGGATAAATAAAACGCAAGGTACAGCACTGCGACCACTACCGACGATCTCTACACGGAACTGGCACCTCCCTACAGAAGATCGTCCTGGTAAGGCCTAGTGCCTGGTCACACCTGTGTTTTATGTACTCGGGCGTTGCGGTGCGAGGAGTATTGCACCGTCTTTTACGTTCACCCTGGTCTGAATACCAGGGCAGAATAAAAGCACCGGGCCTATTCCCGGCGTGAACACTTTTACTTTCGAGTAGTGTTGTTTGTTCTTGTGCCGACTCGTACAATCCAGTGGTCGAACAGTGGGAGCGTGACGGGGAAAAACGTTACATATAGTTATATAGAACAATTAGATCAATTGTATATACACATAGTTAAGTACGTGTGAGTCTTAGGCCGTCTCTGCAGAACGCAGATTCACTGCACTACGCCATGGTTGCTCGATGTCATGAAGCTAAAGCCAAACTGACAAGCAAATGTGGTTGTATATAAGAGCGGATGATACGTATAATTTTAATAAATTATGTTAATTTGAAAAGCTGACACTTCTTAGTAATATATATATACCGAGCATTTTTCTCCTGCGACGAAACGTCAAATTTTAGCAAAATTTTCAAATTCACTTTCTGAGGAGTCAGATAGCGCCTCTAGCCAGAGTGCTGATAATTGGAACCCGATTGTCCATGTTTGGATTCTTGATTCGTATATGACACGAGCGAGAAAATATATTCACGATATAAACTCTGAAGGCCATGAAACAAGCCGCCGATTGCGTAATTAAAAATTTAATAAAGTTTCTCTTTTAAATCTACTTCTATTATAATTGCAATGCTGCCAGTCTTCAATAACGCCTATTTCGCTGTTACGGTACCGTACACCCGCATAACCAATCTAGCGGAGAATTGGGATGCCTCTCTGCTCCCCCCTTCTTTCAAATCGAACGCAACCCTCAATGGCACGTCCTTTCAATAATACAGTGCGATCATACGGAGCATCATCGCGGTCTATGAAGTTCGATTGAGCGCAAAAACATAACGAGTATTATTTCGTCCGCTTGGCGGCGCTTGGCGAAGCAATCGCCGGCTGCGTTGTTTGAACAGATTATCTAGTCGGCATTTCTGCGATGAAATTTAATTAAAGCGCGATGCCCCGCGCGCATCGCTCGCAGCACATCCTCACAGCCGAGGCTTTTACCCACAGGCACTTGCAGAGTTTGTTTCTCTACTCTGTTAAGACTTTGGTAGTAAATCGATTTCGTATTTATTTAGTATTATATTTTATTGAAACGCTCCAGGTGCATGTGCTTTACCAGCCGGCGGTACGTACGATGGTCAGTGGCGAGCGTGAGATTAGGGGGAGAATAGGCTCGCCGCCGGCCAGGGCTAACGGCCTCTCGGCGCTTTGCAGCAGTTGCACACGGAGCGGCAGAAATCGTTTTAGCCGCTGCTTTGATCTCGCCAGCGTTGCGTCAACACCCGCGCGAAATTTATGAAGGAAACATCGCGCGCCGGGAGCGGGTTACTAATCTCGATAATGCTGAAGTATACGCGGTGACATTCGGATTACAAAGGTGTAGCGGCGCCACGCGCGTGGGACTTCATTTGCACATTTGTTATTGCCGTTGTGTTCAAGACATTAACATGCGTCGTGGCAGCTGCAGTCTGTGCTTACTTCTTTCCGACTAACTTAGTCTGGTCCACAACGAGTGCACTGAATCTACTCAGTAAATAGTTTCAGTCTGCTCATTCTGCAAAGAAACCCAACCTGGTCCACGGTGAGTGCAGTGAGTAGATCCTGTAATACACTAGTGCACATATATAGACGTCTATAGTGGAATGAGTCTAGCGTCGCGGGTACCACGTCTGCGCATGCGCGGTGGGTGTGTAGCCGCCTCTCGATAGTAGGGGAGACCGGGGACAATTGTAACACGGGGCAAATGTAACAGAGGCCCTCATTCCTAGTAGAAACGTGCTATATGTATACGCTCTTTACAGCGCATGCACATTTCATTGCCCCACATGCTGTCCTGAGGGTAGGTAGGTTTACGCATCGAGGAACATTTGACAGCCAAAACATTGTTTTTTTAGCAGGTAAGTAAAATCTCGAATTACCTAATGTTTTTTTCTGGACAAATATGTACTTGAGCTATCACTGTCATTTGTATATCATAAAAAAATAGGTTTTTAGGCCTGTATTTGGTAAAAGTTCTATTGACGAATATACTAATGCTAAGATACAAAAACAGCCCCCAAATTATGGCCGTCTCTTCGGGGGCAAATGTAACAACGTGTTACAATTGCCCCTTGGCATGTATAAAAACCATGTGTTTTACAAAATGTGTTTTGTTTATAAGGCAAAAAAGTAGCCTATCTATAAGCTCAGACATGAGAACTACATAACTTTGAATTAATGGGTCTGTAAATATGTTTTGTTTACAAGGCAATAAGTAGCCTATTTATATATTTTATTCATATGTAAATGAGTCAAGCATTCGTCATAGTTTTTATTAAAATTATTTTATTGTGGTTCTATAAATTGCTGTTTAATTGTTGAAAATCTGTCCAACGTGTCACCTTCATAAAAAATAAAAAAAATCTTTTTGAGGGATATGATTTGTTGGTACAATTGTATGTGTTACAATTGCCCCATTGGTGTGTTACAATTGCCCCGTGTTGTGGGGCAATTGTAACACTTGACTTCCAGTTTTGAAATGATAATGGCTTCAAAATAACTTGTTTTACTTAACCCAAACCTAGTCATATTTCAAGCCAAGATATGCATCTTTAATTTCATATCCCTTGAAGTAAGTATTTAACTATAATAAAGTTGTTATGTCAGATTGAGAAAAAAGTGTTACAATTGTCCCCGGTCTCCCCTAGTAAGCTTTCGTTTTGCACGACGGATCGTTCTACGACGGATAAAAACCTGTGACCATACCGTCGGGCGTGCTGAGCGTCGGTCCTGCGGTAACTCGTTTCGATTTTCACGACGGCGACAAATTGGCCAACTTGATCACATGACCTTTTGTTTTGATCGCGCGTATTATAAAAATGGCGAATCTTCACCGGTTATGTCATTGTTACGTTTTGAATCTTAAACATGTCAGTAACACTAACTGTAGATGTAATACTATAGACTTTTAGTATTATCTTAGTAAAAGAACATCATTAATCCACGCCTGATTATGATTTGATTTCAACATGGGCTGTCACCACCAAATAGTGGAAACTTACAGAATGAGGGGCGCAAACCAGGGCGTGTATAGCACAGCACCGAAGGGGGGGTCTGGGGGGCTTCTCCCCCCCAAATTTTTTTGAAATTAAGCCCCCTCAGATGCGTTTCTGCGCGAGCAGTGGGGTCCGAACCCTGGACCCCCCTGTACACCCCCTGGAACCTGTAGACTCTGATAACCGTGTGCGCTGCACTGACGGTGGTCATGGGGTAATTCATGATTCATCAAGGTGCGTACGGCAAAATCATTTTGCGTAAATCTTGTGTAGCGCAATCGACGTGCTTAAATTGCGATTCATCAACACAGCTATTTAGTAAAATTGCGTACATTCGCGGTACGCAAGCGAGGCCGGTTTTAGGTGGGCGATGTCATCCAAGCTAAATATGACGTAAACCTTTTCGTAACTATACACCCGAGCTGACGAGGTCCCGTAAACCTCACTAGAAATTTTCCGCAGGTTCTCGCAGATACCGCCAGCAATGCATTATTTATTGAAAACATTATAAATTACTACTGCAACCTAACAAATAAATAAAATAATTAGCCAATCTACATACACAGAACAGGCGCGCGCTTTTGACGCTTTTTTTTGACGTCATACGCTGGCATTGTTTTCGTTTATAACGAGTTCGTAGTTAGCCGATGTACGTGGCACACCCGGTGCGCACTTGTACGTCACACGGCACGCACTGATACGTCACACAAGCACGTCCACGTGACGTAACGCCACACGCACGGCACGCCCGTTTACTACGCAAGCACGCACGTGACCTGCACACATCGCACGCACGTGTACGTGCACACACACGCACCACGTGCTAACGTCACACGCACGCACGCACGTGTACTGGCCACACGCAACGCACGTGTACAGGCACACCACGCACGCACGTGTACGTGCATCACAGCACGCACGCGTAGTGTCGCCCCTGTCTTTCAATCGAGTGTTGAACAACAATCATACAAACGAAATGAGACAACTATCACACCCCCGCAATGCCTGTAGACACTAGAGCCATAGGTTTACATACCAAGAGAGCGTCATTGATTTCCTATGGTATGTGTGCACAGTGTGATTCGGTTTATGCTAGGCACGCCCCTCAACCGCCAGCAAGCCACATCGCCGTAGTGATTTAGCACGCGGAATCATCACATTTGCGCTAACGCAGGTGGCTAAACGCTGGCGTGATGAATCGCATGCACATCACGAACCTTTGCGTACGTACTCGTAGAAAAACCTCATGTGGTACGCAATACACTATGCGCAACGTTTGAAAGAACCGTTTCCCAGGGCCCGCCTGTAAGTGGCCTCTGCCGGGTCCAGGCAAGCACCCTGGCAGGGGGTCCCGGGAAGCTCATCAGAGTTTAGCTAATCCAATACTCTCAAATTGCTGATCAAAAAATTGTGCAGGGAACTCAAGAGTCACACAAATACCAAGGAACTGAAAGCCGCGCCGGGGGGGGGACTCACCCCACATTATTGTAAATATCTGGTATGTGCCACATGCGAAGTTAAAAATGTGGGGGGCATCTGGAACTAACTCAACCCTAAAAATGTGGTCTCTGGAAACTAATGTTTTTGAATGTGATTATGCTAACTGAAACCGGCTAATTTCGAAATGGGGTCTCCGGAACTCAGCTAGGATTTGTTGAAATTCAATCCCTATGAAAACTGGACAACGTTTAAAAAGGGGGTCCCGAATTATGGGGGAACAGTGATAGTGATTTAAATCTAGCTGTAGCAACCTTGAACCAATATTGAATTGTATTAGTAGAGGAAGAAAAAAACATGACCCGGAGAGAAGATGAACGCCACGCGCGCGCGCATACCACACTAACCTAAAACTAGACAGAGGCACTCACCGAGAGAGAAACCTCCGCCAAGCGACCATACGCCTTAACGCCATACACTCACGAACACACGAAAAGCCCCGCTCCGCCGCGACGCTCGATCGTACCCACAAGTATACGCCCAGCGTACATGTATGCTCGCTCGCCAGTCAGTCAGCAGGCAGCCGCTTGAGGCGTCGCTGGCTCAGCTCGGCTGACGACCAAAACAATATCCGATTCGCGTCACACACACACACACACACACAGCACACACACACACACACAACACACACACAACACCACCACACACTACACACACACACACACACACACCACACGGCTAACTTGTTACAACAGGAACGCACAGACCCGATCACACTAACTTCCACCTCCAACCGTGAGTGCTGGAGGTAAGAAATAAGCATAGCGTATGTAAGAATTAGTTAGTGTCAGTCGCAAACCGTTGTAATTATATTTATAAGTGTGTTAACACCCTCAAGTGGCCACTTTCCGCGCCGGGAAACAGCATCCATCGACAAATGAATGGTCTCCAACTTGGGACTCCCCAAGGAAATACACACCTTGACATCCGATTATCAAAT